TATGTGCACTTGGGCCCCACGGCCCTAAAGTTTCAACCCCAAACGGTTCGAAAGCATAATTGCCAATCACGCTATCATACTTTCGCCGTTTGAGGTTCTCGGCAGCAGCAGCGGCAGCACCGGCTCGACACGCTGAGCTTGGAAGATGGGATGGCGCCAGAGTATCAACGCAAGTGGCGTCGCATACTAAAGGCCTACCCATCTTCCAAGGGAATAATGACATACCGTCGGGTCTCTTGCCATCGTTGCGTACCAAGCCATTAGGTTCTAAAGTAGCTGGCACGCCAACGGAGACAAGAGCTCGACGATATATGTCATTAATACTTGCGTGTCGAGCAAAACGGCCCGCACTACGGCTACACGACAAGCCTTGGTGTCCGAGGCTTTTGACATCTTCACTACAACGACAACGATGAGGTGAACAAAATGAAGCTCCAAGTCTTAAACAAATTGCAGCGCGGAATGTGGTGTCGTCCAACAAAGTACCTAAGTTGGACGAAGGTAAAGGAAGAATCCATAACCCCAACTCCCACTCACCCACAGCCAAAAGGCGAGCTCGCTCTGCAGTTGAACAAGCGGAGTTCAACAGATTTTCGCACACTTTTCGGCAGAGCGGCTCGTCCCATTGTCTCTGGGAGAGTGATTTGACGGGGGGGTCAATATTTGGGCAAGCGATTTTCCAAGCTTTCACAGCTTCCACTAAACATGGTACATCAAAATGGAAATTTTACGGACGCCAAGCCCACCCATGCGGACAGGCAGAGTAGCTTGTGTCTAGGCTCGGTCGTCGAGAGCCACATTCAAAATTAAGGATAAAGATTCTCTAATCTAATGATTCGGTAATTTTTTTCCAAAAGAAGGGGTGCTGACCTGAGGGATCAAAACAACAAAAACGAATAATAGTGTAGGCCCAATGCATTCTAATGTGATAGGTATAGTCTTTCTGAAACGACAGAAAAATTTTGAATTTTTTCATCAATAAAACTTGGAACAGAGACCTCGAAGACGGGTGCACCTAGAAGCGAACATTTATCGACAACCGAGATATTAGGCGCAAAAGTAGTAAATTTTGATATGATCTGTCTGTCGGTAGAGTCATGTAAAAATATCTCACACTTGGAATAATTTAGGTCAAGGTCAATAGCATTAAGTTCGTTTTTTAAAAATTGGAAATCATTTAAAACTGTATCTGCATCGCCTCCCAGGGTACCGTCATCGAGGTACCACACATTAAATTTAGAATTTAGCTGTCGTATAATAGGATTAATGGCCAGGCTAAAAATCACTGGCCCAAGGGGATCGCCTTGTTGACAGCCAACGGCTGATTCCAAAAGGTTGTCCTGATATAATAATTTTGTAGGGTGTCTATAACATTGCCAGAGAAAACTAAAAATTTGGGGTACTTCCTTTTTAACTTCTGTCAACAGAGTATCCCTATTGACCGAATTAAAAGCATTCTTAATGTCAACCTTCAGGATGATATCACCTTTCCTGGAATTCAGGTAGGTCGACAACGCATGCACGGCAGCCTCGCAGCCCCCTCTAGATCCATACCCGAGTTGAAGGGGCTGGAATTTTCCCGAAAGGTGATTATTATAAAATTTGCAACAAATCTTGGCTGCCAAGCGACGATAAGTTATTCCCACGGCAATGGGACGAATACCGCCATCCTTCTTGCGTAGGGCACATAGATTGGCCCCGTACAAAACGTCGATTACGGATTCGTGCACATTGCCGGAGAGCATAAGATTGATCAAAACCGTAAGCTCCTTCAGCAGCGTCACGCCGGACTCCCCGGCGCTTGAGCTCGTCAGATCTTTGAGATGCTGCGGCGTCAAACCGTCGAGGCCTCCGGCAGAACCGCTCCGGAAGGAGCCTATGGCAGTGACCACTTGTCGACCTGTAACAGATAGGGTATGAATATCTGCTTCTGGAGGATCCGGAAAAGAGAGACCATCTACTGGGGCCGGGTGTTTGCTCTCCAGAGCTTTAAGTGTATCTGGAGAACATGGAGCCAGTACGTCATTGCTAAAAATAATTCTGGCTGCGCCGCTAATATCACCTTCACCTATTTTGGTCTCAACTAAATCAGCTAAAGTTTTGGTTGAGGCATAGCTGCAAGCCGGTAATTTTGGGTCGAATTGGGAAGCCGAAATGCAATTTTCTTTGATTTGTTTTGTTAAGGAATTTTGAAAAGCCAAATTCTTTTTAACATGTAAGATTTGGTAAGGGAAGGTGAGGAGTTGTTCCCAGGCGCGTAACGAGTTCTCCTGTGCTGCCAGACGGACACAATTTGCTAACTGTTGCGCAACTAAAGGTCTGGCCCCACGGGGAACTCGTTTAAGTAGAGGGATAGATTTTTAAAATTTTGATAATCTTTTCCAAAAGGGATCTTTCGAAATAAGAGGAGTAGTATCGGTAACGGGGCTGAATGTACTTTGAGATTTGTGAACACGTCCAATGTGTACATTCAGCCCTCGCTTACCTTTAAAATAGCGAGCCTGGGAACATAGCGGGCATCTTGCCAAAGAATGCTGCGACGCCGAAGGGTGACTACCGAATACACCACAGTCCGCACTAGTTGATGTGCCTGACATAGACCAAAAAGAAAAAAAAATCACTTAATATTCTAAATAAGAAAAAACTTACAGATTAATCAATACATCAATACATAGTATAAAACAAAGTCGCTTTCGCTGTATGTCCGTATGTATGCTTAGATCTTTAAAACTACGCAACGGATTTTGATGCGGTTTTTTTTAATAGATAGAGTGATTCTTAAGGAAGGTTTGTATGTATATACATATTGCACCCGTGCGAAGCCGGGGCGGGTCACTAGTTAAATATAAAAGTAAATAAATAAAATAAAATAATAAAAATGTCGACCGCTTGTCACGCGCCGGCGACGTAGGGCTCCACGCCGCCCATGTCCAAAGAATGTTAATAAGCTTAATAGTTGTAGTTGTTTGGTGTGGTACTTTGAATTGGAGTTGTGCTGCCAAAATCAAAATGTCCAAAGCCTCCCTCGGCCTGTAGCAGTTGGCGCAGTCAAATGAATGGCACTTGTATTTCGCCTTTAAATACTGTTTTAATAATCACAATCACGTCCCGATGTAAATATACACTTTCAAGTACAAGTTTATCAATAATTCACTATTTATTTATATCATTTTAATAGAAATAAATATCTAGTTGTTTTAAAACCGTTGCTTGGCAACCAATCCGTATAATTTTCTTAATAAATTCTCAAATTCAAATTCAAATTCAAATTCAAATTCAAAATTTTTTATTGCATATCATGTGTACAATTGTTGGTGTTACATGAGGTACAGTTTCAACATGAAACCCGGCTAGGGCACAGCAACATATGGAGCAAAATATGATCTAACTAAACTACTATTAATAGTTATTATATTATAACATAAGAAATGTTGTTTTCGTACTAAACATTAAGAAAGAAGATATTTCTTTATTTTATTATAATATGTATTTACATAAATTTCTTAATAATGGTGTTATTGTATGTAGTAGGTACATGTATTATTATATTTAATATGATTTTTATTGAGTAGGTAGGTATGCATTGAGTATTAAGTTTTGCTGCTAGCTTGGTCATCAAAAAACTCATTAAGGGTGTAGTAACATTTTTCAATGAGGAACCATTTTAATTTATTTATAAATACGTTATATTTTTCTGCTTCTTTTATGTATTTCGGTACAATATTTTCCATATAATTTGGTTTTCTATTCTAAATGTGCGCGCTAAATGCGCTAAATGGCATTTGGCTACATCTGCTGGAACTACAATAGAGTCAGATACAAGTTTTGAATTAATTTAAGATTCGACCAATTATGTACCTACCTATGTATGGTTGGCTGAACCGATTTTGATGCGGATTTCAGTAAAGTTTTAGTAGGTATATTAATTCACCGACTTCAAAAAAGAGGGGGTTGAAGTCGGCATTTTTAAACGTTGTTTATTAATTTTTTATTTATTTAAGCTTCATGCACAAAATGTACATAAGGTGGACTTAATGCCGCAGGCATTTTCTCCCAGTCTGACCTTTGGGTGATGCAGAGAAGAGTTAATGGTGTGAGCAAGAAGCAAGCAACGAATTAATAGAGTAATTAAAATAGATGCACTTACATATTTCAGAGATAAACATAAATAAACATAATTATAATATATATACCTACACACGAGTACAATAAACTATAAATATGTTTATATAATAGTTATTTTTATTCTCACACTAAGAATGCACTCTCGTGCCGGGTTGCGTTGAAAATAGTACACCCAGACCTTTTTTTTTTGAGGGGGGAATATCATCGAATGACTGCTCCCGCCTGGGTGAGGCGAGAGGGACTCAGACTTTTACTGACTAAAAACCACCCCGTTCCTACTCCTGCACTTCGAACCGGAACCCCTTGATTCGGGGTATTTTTCGGGGACGATATTATGATAATTTCCATAAATAAATGTAATGTCCCTTCCTTGTCTAAAGTACCATTTCATATGTAAAGGAGGCACTTGTCGAGTGTCGAGTGTATCAAGATACCTATGTGCTTGGATATTATAATAGCGTAGATGCCTAATTTTTATTTTAATGTCCGTCTGGTAGATTATTTTAAATCATTAGACACGTATTTTTTATTTTCTTACAGAAACGAATACTTTCGACGATATATTGATTTAAAATGTCGCGTGACGTCACTTCTACGTACATTTTATACGTAGAAATGACGTTTTAGCCCCCACTCCTAATCTTTGATTCGTACATAACATAAATAGTGAAAAGTGGGTGTTATGTACAGAGGCATAATGTGTACCTACCTCTTCGGGGATAAAAGGCGTGATGTATTGTTATGTTATTAAAGCATGCAAATCCGCGATCAAAAGCTAGTTAAATAATAATTCTCAAAGCACTTTAATTGAAGAGCTCTTGACAATAACAAACTATATATAAACTGAAATTCTACACTTTCTTCACACTGCAAGTTAGATAGTTTCTTCCTAACTTACTAACATGTCTCTCTTAGCTATTTCTTGTTGCCTCGCTCTTCTAGCGGGTCAAACCTTAGGAGCTGGTTATCACGAGGATGTAGGGATCCCCGAAGCCTCCAGGATCCGCTTGAAGGAGGCCCAGAAAGCCAGTGAGAGGATCAGTGGAGGAGAAACTTCCACTTATGGTGATAACCCATATCTGGTGAGGATTTTTTATTATTCATCAGTTTGTTTAGGCTTATGGCATTCTGTCTCCTGCAATAATTCACCGAGGGAAGTGGACACTATTGTTTTTTTCTTCTCCTCTTATAATAGCTTCTGATTCACTTCATTGCGGGAACCAAGACAGTTACTCATGTCCCGGGACGCGCCGGACTTCAGTGTTCCGGTGTTTTCATGGTTGTATCTACTGTAGATCCTGGCTTACAGGAGTTGCAGCGGTTTTGGGAGGTTGTGGCGGACTTAATGCAATTAAAAATCTAATCCCAAATATCCCATAAGTATTTTCTGATTATTGGCATATAAGACAACATCGGGGGTGCGGGGGGGAGTCGTCAAATAACTTCTCCCGCCCGGGTGAGGCGGGAGGGAGTGTCAAACTCTTACTGACTAAACACCACCCCGTTCCTACTCCTGCATGTCGAGCCGGAGCCCCGGTTACCAGCGGTTAGGTCACCGATTTAAAGACTTCTACAGCTACTAGCCAACGTGTTGGGTGTCAAGCTGTCAAGTGTATCTCCTGACAAAAAAGCCTGCACAATTCCCAGGTCAAGCAAAGTATTTTTATGTCTTTTCTGTTTATTGAAAATATTTCAGTAATAGTAGCACGGAGTCTCAAGCGTTCTGAGCGGATTTAAACAACCAAAATAAATCTTTAACATATTTATTTAAAAAATTCTCAGTAGTAGCACGGAGTCTGAAATTGTGCCCGGTATATGGCAGTAGGCTCACCACCTAACATGGGACTCATAACACAAATAGTGAAGAGTGAATATTACATTCTACAGTGGCATAATCTGCACCTCTGCCTCCCCTTTCGGGGATAAAAGGCGTGATGTAATAGTAGATAATGTTATGCTTATTTATTTACCACCTGACATTGGATGGTTTCAGGCCGGTATACTGATAACTCTGCGAACTGGTCAGCTGTCTGTCTGCAGCGGTACCTTGCTGAGCACACGGAAAGTTCTGACTGCAGCCCAGTGCTGGTATGACGGGTACAACATCGGTAGGAAAGCTGAGGTAAGATTGTCATCAACAGCGCATACGTGTGGGAGAGCCATGCTTCAGCACGAGGTTACCTGAGGCCCAATTACCCCCTCCCTAGCCCCCGTCTCCCGAATCCCCGAATCCTCCACAATCCTCAAATTCCCAATTCCCAGAAGGCCGGTAACGCACTTGTAACGGTGTTTCGAGTATCCATGGGCGACGCCAATTGCTTACCATCAGGTGATCCGTCTCCTAGTTTACCGGCTTATGCTATAAAATAAATATATATACTCTGTGCTATAAGTGTCTACTGCTGACCAAAGGCCTCTTCTCAAACGGAGAAGGTTTGATTGAGCATTAATTACCACGCTTGCTCAAGGCGCTTGGACGATTTCAAACGAAGAAATCTGAATTTCAATAAACTGTATTATACCTATACCAAGGTAAGGTAACTACAAAAAAATATATATTGTATGGTCCTCAAGATTAAGGACTCGTACACAAAACTGCGATGCGATGTGATGTGAATTCGAAACGCAGAAAATTACGACACGAATTGCTGCGATGCGATTTCGTGCGACAAGGCGTCTCCCAGGGTGAGCATTCCTTCGACGACCGTCAACCGTACCAAACGTATTTTAAATTGAAAACTAGATCGTGACATGGATCGTAAAAAGAAGTGTGCACTTCTGTTATTGCTTAGAAGATATAGGAAAAAGAAACAAAGAAGATTTTGGGAACATAAGATTTCGAATCAATTCGCAAGTTCTTGCGATGCGTGGAGGGAACTCGCACATTTTTGCGATGCGACGTCGCATCGCAGTTTTGTATACGAGCCCTAAGAGTGTGTACCAAATATCAGGTCGATTTGTCATTAGGAAGGGGGTGACATTGCAATTACTAAAGATCCGAACCAATAAACGGGCTAAGCTCAATAAAATCGTTTAAAATTGACTCTTATTCCAGGTGGTGTTAGGTTCACTGCAGCTGTTCAGTAGTAACAAGAGGGATGTCTTAGGAGTGGTTGTGCACTCCGGATACAAACCTAGCACTCTGTATAACGATCTCGCCATGATGACTCTACGATCCTCCACCTGGACAAGCAGTAAGTAGTCTATTCCGTATTTCCAATTAATTAAGTGTGGGAGAGCTATGCTTTAGCACGAATGAGCCGGCTCGACCGGAGTGATACCACGGCCTCACAGAAAACCGACGTGAAGCAACGCTTGCGTTGTGTTTCGTCGTGTGTGTGAGGTTACCGGAGGCCCAATTACCCTCCCCTTCCCGAATCTCCCCAATTCCTGAATTCTCAACGATCCTCAAACTCCTAATCCCCAAAAGGCCGGTAACGCACTTGTAACGCCTCTGGTGTTCCAGGTGTCTATGGGCGACGCTGATTGCTTTGCCGCCAAGTGATCCGTCTGCTCGTTTACCCCACCCATTTTTCACTATTTATGTTATGAGTCCCATGTAATAGGGGGTGAGCCTATTGCCATATACCGGACACATTTCCAGGCTCCGTGCTACTATCTACTGAGATACTTTTTTTTAATAAGCCCAGTAATACTTTGCCCATCCCGGGAATCGAACCCGAGCTCCTTGCCCGGAAGTGGCACTTGCGACTAGTAAACTAACCTTGATTATATTCTTTAGGTTATCTGAGTCCTGCATTTATCCCAGCCGTGAACGAAACGAACAAATACAATGGTCTGGAGGCGCGCGTCTCAGGGTACGGGAAGACCAGTGATTGTAAGTACCTGTAATAAAATCTATATTTTTTTAAATATAAACCTGAAGATTTGTATGTATGAGTAGGTTATTCTCCGTTAATGGTTCGAAGTGGATAACATCTTTTTGTTTTGAATAGTAGGTACCTTCATTTATCAAGGATGGCTGCAATAAGGTAGATGCCTAATTTCTACCAGACGGTAGATTATTTAAAAACATTAGACACGTATTTTTTATTTTCTTACGGAAACGAATAGTTTCAAAGATATACTGATTTGAAATGTCGCATGACGTCACTTTTGAGTACCTACCTACGCATTATACTCTAAAATGACGTAGCTACCTCCCACTCCTAAACCTTGATTCGTTTTATCTAAGTATTGTTTTATTATATGACAAAATAAAAAAATACGTGGCTAATAATTTTTCATTACCTAACTGACGGACTAATTAGATTTTTAATTTTAATACCCTGTCATTATCCCTATTATGGTTAGGATAATAAGGTAACTATGGATAGGATGACTGTAATTTATTTCTTATTTTATCAATAGTTCAATACCTATTTTATATTTATATGTTATCGTATTGTCACTATTTTGTTATATTCTTTTGTTTCTTTGTTTTTGTCATCTCTCTTTTTAGATTAGGTACCATTATTGTTCTGTGTTACCTATAATAAGTGTCGCGGAGAACCTAACAGGTTACCGGGGCTCTGGGTCGACGTGCAGGAGTAGGAACGGGGTGGTTCCTAGTCAATAAGAGTCTGTCAATCCCTCCCGCCTCACCCAGGCGGGAGCAGTCATTCGATGATTTCCGCCCCTTAAAAAAAACCTATTTATGTATCTGTATTTTTATTTCTGTTTTTTTTTAATTTTCTAATGATATTAATGCTATTTCTTTCTATTACTTCTTACTCCTTTCTATATGCTATGATCAATAGCAGCCGAACAGCGGGCGAAACAGGCGGAAGTATGCAGTATTGACATAATATAATCTAATTTAATTTATGTTTTCTGAAACAGATGACGATTTCAACCCGGAGACGAACCAGCAAGCGTTGACAGTCACAGTGATGAGACCCTGGGAATGTTACTGGAACATGGCACGTCGCCCAGTAGACTCCAGCAAGATCATGTGTACCCCCGGGAGCGTATTGTGGGGTACTTGCGGCGCGGACCTCGGCGGGCCACTGGTGATACCCAACTTTAATGGCACAGGAAACCATCTGCTGGTAGGTTCATATTTATAATCGACGTCAACAAAATGTTCCCAATTATCCTTTATGTATGTTTGTCTGCGAATATCACGCATTAGCTAAACTCATTTTGATAGTTTTCAGAAAAGTGTTGGTTTGTTAACTTAGGAGCATATTCTATTATATTAATCGACCTGAAAAAGTCGTTAAATGACACCTATCTTAGCTTAGAGGCCCACTTCACGGTTAAACCTAGAGAGCACCCTAGGCACGCATCTCATAGGCGCACGTAATTTCTTTCGGTGCCGCCACTCTATGGGTAGTTGTGCACGCACGTCTCGTGGCGCCCTCTGTATCCTGGCGCCTGGCAGTTGCCTAGTTTGCCCTAGACATAGTACGGCTCTGACGTCATCACACATCACCTGAACATCTTTTATTTTTCAGATTGGAGTGATATCAATTCAGTCTCCGTTTGGCTGCACGTCATCGTTCGCGACCGGTTACACCCGCGTCACTGAATACGTCAGTTGGATATAACAGAACTTGTAAACCGATCATACCACAGTCTGGATTTTGAACCTAAACTAGACCCCAATCTAGCGTCATTTCTATCATTTTGGTAGTTTCTACAATCAAAAATAAATGCCTAACTTTGATTTTTCTACATTATAAAATATTGCGAAATAATAACACTTTTGTTAGTTGATGAGTTATTTAAGTACTTATTTTGTTTTTATTAAGGAAGTAAAATACAATTCGACGCTAAAACATTATGACGATGACGTCATTTAGTTGTAAACAAAATTCATACGAAACACATTTTTGACATTTCAGAAAAAAGTACAGCTACATATTGTACCTCTCATATTAAAATTGAGGTACTTGTATATATACTTGTAAACTTGGAAACTACCTTATTGTACATGTAGATTACATTGTTTGAGACTTTTAGGTATAACCTATAGTTTAGTATTAATAGACCTGGCTTTGTATAAAGGACACGAAATTATATTTGTATAGGTACATTTTCAATCTTCCTTAGGTATCCATTTTGCAATATGGCCGACGAACTGTCAAACTCATGTTTTTTTTATTCGAAATTACGTTTAGTTTCTTTTTGTTTTATTTTAAGTAATGTAATGTAATAAAAAATTAAGAAAATTCATAAAATTACAATTATTAATCAACGAATCATAATAAATTCTTTCATTAAGTAAAACCTGTATTTTATTTATTTATCTGCTTCGCTCGCAGAAATAGCAACAAACATTTGGTTGGGTCCACATTCCACTATCTGAAGTCTTATATTTTACTGTCTCTAACTATAGAGACAGTAAAATATAAGACTTCAAAGTTAACTTTACAACTTAGTCAACTTTGACTACAAAGTCAAAGTCAAAATCATTTATTTCAATTAGGCCAGAATGGCACTTTTGAACGTCAACAAAAAAGAAATTGAAAGTTAAGCTATTGAACCCTTTTTTTATAATGACCCATGTTATAAAAGGGTTCGGGTTTTAAACTGCTGCAGTAAGTGTGGGAGGTAATCGGGTCGGCTCGACCGGAGTGATAGGTACTATGGCCTCACAGAAGACCGACGTGAAACAACGCTTGCGTTGTGTTTCGTCGTGTGAGTGTAATTGTAGTAATTGAGACTCCGATAAATATATCGGAGTCCCAATTACCCTCCAATCCTAATCTCCTCAATCCACAAGTCTTTAACCGGCCGATAGTGAAACAAGTGAAACAAGTGAATTTATTTCTGCAAATAGGCTACAAGGCAGCACTTTTACACGTCAATTTTATCAAGCGAACGATGAGGTCGGCATTTCCTAACTGACTACTCTGATAAGAAATGCCGAAATCCGATAAGTCACTTGTAACGCCTCTAGTGTTCCAGGTGTGTCGCGGAGAACCTAACGGGTAACCAGGGCTCCGGCTCGACGTGCAGGAGAAGGAACGGGGTGGTTTTTAGTCAGTAAGAGTCTGACACTCCCTCCCGCCTCACCCAAGCGGGAGCAGTCATTCGATGATTTTCCCCCCTTAAAAAAAAAGTGTTCCAGGTGTCCATGGGCAGTTCTGATTGCTTACTATCAGGTGATCTTTGTGATCTTTTGCGCATCTAAACCATAAAGAATGCATCACCATTTTACACTGATACTCTGTGAGATGGTGGTACTTGTTCGGTCAAGTCGACACATTCAACTCTCATTTATACCTACTGTAGCATAATATATTTCTATCTTCCAAGTACCTTGTAGCTATACCTTGTAATTGCTAAACGAGTAAAAAGACCACCTGACGAGTAATAAGCAATCGGCGCCACCCATGGATACCCGCAGTTAGGGATTTGAGGAATGGAAGATTTGGGGATGTCAAAGTCAAAGCATTTATTTCAATTGATCCTTAATTACGCACTTTTGAAACTTCAAACATTAAACACTCCGTCCGTCTGTCCGTCAGTGAAGCTAGGCGTCCGTTCCAAAGTGCAGTTTTGAATGGAGAAGAACGAGTGTCTATTCTGTTTACGTGAAACATAATAATATTACAATAAAATACTTCATGAAACTGTCATGTTCGTAGTTAGTACCACTGTTCGACAACAGATGGCGTTGTGTCGTTTTGTCATTTTCTCTATCGCGATGTTAAGATATTCCGTCAGTTCATGAGCTCTGCAGCCTTTATGCAACGAATTGTCTTACTCTGGACAAGATTGTTTTTTTCTACTGCAAGATATTTTTGGGCCGTTGTCAATGAGTAAGAAACTACATCGCTGCTCTTTAAAAAAATGATTATAGTCTCACTGATACATTGTCTGATCCTTTATCTATTGAAAAGAAATATTTGTAAGAACGATGTAACGACAATACAAAGTGGAGGGAACATTAGGCACTTGTCGTGCACGATGATGCGGTCTACGATGGAGCACAATTACATAAGCAACCTATTCACTAGGGCCTTGAAGACACCCAGGTTATAATACCCTTCGAGAAACACCTAGTAGTAGTGCCTAGGCTATTGTGTAACTGCCAATTGGAACTTTTGAAGTGATCATCAACAACAGCCTATAAATGTCCATTGCTGACCAAAAGCCTCTTCTCACACGGAGAAGGATTGAGTATTAATCACCACGCGTCCTCAATGCGGGTTGACGATTTCAAACTTAAAATTAGAAACTATAAGCCCAGGTTTCCTCACGATGTTTTCCTTCACCGTTTGTCAGTGGTGTCTAGATAATCTTAGAAAGTACATATAACTCGGAACAAGTCACATTGGTACTTGCCGTTGGTAGGTTTCGAGCCCGTGCCCTCATGCATGAGAAGCGGGCGTCTTAAGCCTCCGGGCCACCACGAAATATTCAGAGATTACCCAGTACAAACAGACGGACAGACAATCAGATATAAATTTAAAAATGCGTTATTTTGGTATATGTATCGTATGTATTGGGGGAACCAAGACAGTTATTCATGTCCCTGGGACGCGCCGGACTTCAGTGTTCTGGTGTTTTCATGGTTGTATCTACTGTAGATCCTGGCTTACAGGAGTTGCAGCGGTTTTAGGGAGGTTGAGGTGGGCTTGTCGTATAAGAAAAAAAATAATTATGTATATCGTATGTATATGCATGTAGCAAAACAGGGGTAGATTATGGTCTGCTTCGGTTCGAATGGGCCGGTTTGACTGAATTGATACTTCCAACGAGTAGAAAATCCCGAATCCACAAGAAAACTTAAATCGTAACCCCCAAAAGGCCGGTAACGCACTTGTAACGCCTATAGTGTTTAATGTGTCCATGACGGACGACGATTGCTTATCATCAGGTGATCGTTTACCGGTTTATCCCACATAAAAAAGGCTACTTTTCAAACCGCCAGTGTAAGAATGTGATCAAATTGAAGTACAAATTAAAGGTCCAGTTTAGATTTAAAATCTAGACTGTACTGATATGATCATATCATAGCAGATAAATAAATAAAATACAGGTTTTACGTAATGAAATAATTTATTATGATTCGTTGATGAATAATTGTAATTTTATGAATTTTTTCTGAATTTTATTACATTACTTTACTTAAAATAAAATCAAAAGAAATTAAACGTAATTTCGAATAAAAAAAATATGAGTTTGACAGTTCGTCGGCCATACTGTAAAATGGATACAAGGAAGATTGGAAATGTTCATAAACAATTATGTAGAAAAATCGAATTTATTTATTTTGTTTGTAGAAACTATCAAATTGATAGAAATGAAGCTAGATTGGGTCCAGTTTAGGTTCAAAATCCAGACTGTGGTATGATCGGTTTACAAGTTCTGTTTTATCCAGCTGACGTATTCAGTGACGCGGGTGTAACCGGTCGCGAACGTTGACGTGCAGCCAAACGGAGACTGAATTGATGTCACTCCAATCTGAAAAATAAAAGATGTTCAGGTGATGTGTGATGACGTCAGAGCCGTACTATGTCTAGGGCAAACTAGGCAACTGCCAGGCGCCAGGATACAGAGGGCGCCACGAGACGTGCGTGCACAACTACCCATAGAGTGGCGGCACCGAAAGAAATTACGTGCGCCTATGAGATGCGTGCCTAGGGTGCTCTCTAGGTTTAACCGTGAAGTGGGCCTCTAAGCTAAGATAGGTGTCATTTAACGACTTTTTCAGGTCGATTAATATAATAGAATATGCTCCTAAGTTAACAAACCAACACTTTTCTGAAAACTATCAAAATGAGTTTAGCTAATGCGTGATATTCGCAGACAAACATACATAAAGGATAATTGGGAACATTTTGTTGACGTCGATTATAAATATGAACCTACCAGCAGATGGTTTCCTGTGCCATTAAAGTTGGGTATCACCAGTGGCCCGCCGAGGTCCGCGCCGCAAGTACCCCACAATACGCTCCCGGGGGTACACATGATCTTGCTGGAGTCTGCTGGGCGACGTGCCATGTTCCAGTAACATTCCCAGGGTCTCATCACTGTGACTGTCAACGCTTGCTGGTTCGTCTCCGGGTTTATCTGGTCATCTGTTTGAGAAAGATAATGTTGGAGGCATAGAGAGAAACAGAAACGTCATCGTGTGGCGGGAAAGTTTAGAGATGTAGTCTGTGGTTCGGGAGATAAAGAAAAACAAGATGGCGCCTGGTGCCTGGCGGGAACCCAGATGTATTTTGTGTTTAGAAAATTTTATAAATCTGTTTTGATAGTCACATAACATAACATCATTCCCGAAGGGTTAGGAAGAGGTGTACATTACGGCACTTAATGCCACTGTACAATGTAACACCCACTTTTCACTATTTATGTTATGACTCCCATGTAATAGAGGGTGAGCCTATTGCCGTATACCGGGCACAATTCCAGGCTCCGTGCTACTACTGAGATTTTTTTATAAACCCAGTAATACTTTGCCCGTCTCGGGAATCGAACCAGAGACCCTTGCTCGGCAGTCGCACTTGCGACCACTCGGCCAACGAGGCAGTAAAAAATGTTCTTTTGAAAGAATATGGGTATCGTGTAAATAGGAAAGGGGTTTAGAATTAATCACTGAGTTTCTTATAATCACAAGATACAGTAACTGGGCACTAAGCGAAACGTAGGGCAGTACCGTGAAACTGACGTGACGTCTTCACTCGGTGGCGACTCGAACTAAAGTGAGCTCCGCCGAGCGCGACTCTGATGCCACGACTCTGTCTAAGCGCACCGAAATCCGCTAGGTGGCGCGTTGGCGTTTAGCGTCCGTACTCATGACCGGCTCGGACATATATGTATAAAGATGTACAGATGTGATAAATGCGTTATAGATGTGATACTCAGACGACAGTTACTTAGTAGTTGTTACAAGTACTTACAGTCACTCGTCTTCCCGTACCCTGAGACGCGCGCCTCCATGCCAGCGTATGTATTAGTTTCGTTCACGTCCGGGAGAAATGCTGGTATCATCATTTTATCTAAACAACATTGTTAAGGATAAGTACCTACTTACGTAGGGGAAGTAATAATGGTTACCAATAAAACACATAACATAACATCACGCCTTTTGTCTCCGAAGGGGTAGGCAGAGGTGCACATTATGGCTCTTAATGCCGCCGTCCAATGTAACACCCACTTTTCACTATTTATGTTACGAGTCTCATGTAATAGGGGGTGAGCTTATT